TCATCCCAAGTTGTGCTTATCCTTCGTGTATTGACATCCGTTGGAACCGTTCACCTTTGTTGAGTAACGGACAGTTGGGCTTTATATGACCGGGATTTTGGCATTGATAACACTTTATCTCACTCTCAAATTTTGAGGATTTCGAAGGTCCTGGGAGAATTTTGGGAGGAGTTCCGGTTATAATTTAGTAGTTGATTTATCCTTCTTGTGATCCTCGCGATTTCCTCATTCTTCTCGTCCTCATCTAAGTCTTCCAAATCATTATCGTCGTCCTGCATTGTGTTAGATTTAAAAGCAACGGATTTTTCTTTATTTAATTTTACCTCATCTTTTGCAAGGATGGTGAGCTCATGGGATGTGAGGGAACCGATAAGTTCCGCAATGCTCATAATGTTCAAGTCCTTTGCTTCTTGGATTGCGGTCACTTTTGGAGTCCATTCTCGAGGCAAGGATCTCAAGATCTTTTTGACTTGTTCACTTTGAGAGTAGATCTTGCCAAGTGCCGTCAATGGGTTTATGATCTCCATGAAGCGAGCATACATTTGACTTATGGATTCTTCTTGCTCCATGTTGAACATCTCATATTGATGTACTAGAATATTGATCCTTTGTTCCTTTACTTGGGATGTTCCTTCATGGGTGACTTGCAACATCTCCCACATATCTTTAGCTGTAGAACATGAACAGACACGATTATATTCATTAATAGTAAGAGCACAAGAAAGAATGTTCTTAGCCTTTGAGTTCATGGACACTAAATATTTGTCCGCGGATGTGAGTTCCTTCCATTCCTTGGGCACTTTTTCGCCTTTGATGTCCTTCATAGGAATGAATGGTCCTTCTAGAATAATTGTCCATAGGTCGCAATGGATTGAAATTAGGAATTCTTGCATGCGGTTCTTCCAAGTAGAATATGAAGTTCCATCAAAAAGTGGTGGCCTAGTATGAGATTGTCCCTCTGCAAAAATATAATTACTGAAAGAAGCCATAAGATCGTTAGCTCTTGGGTTGTTAAGCCCAACAACAAAAAAATTAAGAGCACGAGGCTCTGATGCCAATTGAGAGAATAAATATGCCTAAGAGGGGGGTGAATTAGGCTTTTCAAAACTTCTCAATATTTTTGCAGAATTAAATTATTTCTAGAAAAATATATTTTTCTTTGATAATAAATATTTTGCAAACTTCCAAATTAATTCCGAATAAAGTTTTAGCAATAAACGATATATGAGTACGGAGATTTGAATACGATAAAATAAAGTGCGTAAAGTAAATGACACCGAATTTATAGTGGTTCGGAGAAATTCCCCTACTCCACTCTTCTAGGCCCTCGAACTTTTATTCCACGTGCCTCCAAGATCCTTGGATCCTCCACACGAAAAAGATGCGCTTA